AGGCATTTTAAGGGGACTGATATTTGTGTGTGTATACAAATCTGTATCTGGTGATGAGGGGACTGTTGCGCCTTAATGGAGGTATAGTTCATTTATAAATTATACTTAATTTCATATTAGTTAGTTAGTTAGTTAGTTAGTTAGTTAGTTAGTTAGTTGGAATCAAAGTCCATATTCCTGACATAGACCATAAAGTTATATAGTCAAGATGCTCAAATCAACAAAACCATAAACAAATTAAGGACACAGGTCCTCTAGTTTAACCCTGTGTTTGTCTTGTCACTATGTACAATAGTAATGGTAATAGTAAAACTTTGGGTAACTACAGATTTTTGAATGTTCACTATACAGGCATATAAAGACCTACATATAAATATCTAATAAAGACCAACAGTTCCTTACTGATGAGTTCTCAGCAGGTCAGAATGGGAGCACCTCACTAACAGTCCAGCATTTACTTGCCAATCCTGAGGCTTTCAAGTCAAGTTGTCTGCAGATGAACTGTCGGTCCATCCGGCATAACACTGGTCCATTTCTCTATAAAAGTGGAACACACACACGGACTACATCCCTGGACTTTGAGGATTCAGTCAGAGATGGCTTCCGGTAGGCTGCACTGGGATTTGTGGCATGTGCACTGATGCAGTATTTAATATGTAGGTGTTTAAAATGACTAACAATAAATGCTCTAACATTGAAATACCATCAAAGCAGCTTCATCTTGTAATAGCATAAGGAGGTAGGCCTATTATACTACTGAGTTCCCTGAAATGATTTTGATGTAATAGTGTTATATGGGACGGCTTAGTGTCAGAAACAGGGATCACATCAGGACATAGAGGAAAGAAGGGGGGGTTGATGCCACAGGGGGTGATGGTTCCTCCTCCTCCAGATTCATGAGCTCATTACACACCAAGTGTCTCGTGAAAATCTCATCACCCTCTGAGGGAGGATTCATCAGCCCGATACATAGATTCAGGTGATGTATTGTTGTCAAACTTTTGAAAATATATTTTCTATTTTTACATTACAACGCACTCCATATCTTTTCTTTATTCAGTTTGGATGATGTATTTGCCTTCAGAGGGCAGATGGTACGAGTGTGAGCCAGTATGAAAATGTCAGTGAGATCTCAGCAGTGTGTTCAAATGAGATGAAGAGGTCTGATGTGTCACACAGTTCAGAGCAACATACCGTTTGAGGCTGTGGTGATAGAAACTTCTGCAGCTATGATTTGACAGGTGTCAGCTGTATGTTTTATGATCAGCTCCCATAATATTTTCATGAGACAGGTCTCAAAGCTGAGCAAACGTCCAATATTCTTATATCAGAATAAAACCACAGTCCTAATAGGCTTCTTTATAACCATCCCAATAAAACTCATTTGAATTAACAAGCTTTGTCTATTTTTAAATGTGGGTTTTTGGCAGTTTCTTGATTCTGTTGCCCAATTCCCTGTATCAGGAGTAAAACAATGTCAGATCAGTTCAGTTTGAAACAGAACATGTAGCATTGTCACTTTACAATAAAATGTGTTCAGTATAACACACGCATGTTACAGCTTGGGCTGCTATCTATTTCAATTGGACCCGATATGTAACAGTTTCACCCATTTTCTTAAATGCTCCGATACTGCATTGAGCAAAAGTAAGGTGTTGAATCGAGGGAGGTGCATGGGCAACAGCAAGCCCAGCTCTGGACAAGTAAAGCTCAATAGTGCAGTCTATATTGAATGTATGTATAGCCTAGGGCAGCACAGTGGTGCAGTGGATAGCACTGTTGCAACACAGCAAGAAGGTTCCTTGTTTGAATCCCTGAATTCTGTGTAGAGTTTACGCCTTGTCCCCATGTCTATGTGGCGTCCTCCCACAGTCTAAAGACATGCCGGTAGTGGAGACTCTGAAAACATAGGTGGGAATGTGAATTGTTTTTTGTCTCTGTATGTCGGCCTTGTGATGAAAAGGTGACCTGTTCAGGATGTACCCTCAGTGCCTCTCAGTGGGTGGATGGATAAGTCTATACATGCACACATTTTCGTGATAACCCAAAACATTGGTTCAAATATAGATCAGTTTTTAAATGTACTAAGCAGCTGTGACACAACCCCTTCCTGAAAAACCACCACCCAACAACCACCTAAACTAAATCATGTAAACTTAAAAAATGTGTTTAAGTCACCTCTGGGTCATGGAATTATTATCAAATCAAAACCATGAAGGAGTTGGACCGCACAGTGATGGCAAAGCAGCCAACAAGTGCTCAGCACCTCTGGGAACTCCTTCAAGATTGTTGGAAAACCATTCCAGGTTACTACCTCATGAAGCTGATTGAAAGAATGCCAAGAGTGTGCAAAGCTGTCATTAAAGCTAAAGGTGGCTACTTTGAAGAATCTAAAATATAAAACATGTTCTGGTTTGTTTAACACATAATTCCATATGTGTTCCTTCATAGTTTTGATGTCTTCAATATTAATCTGCAATGTAGATAAAAATAAAAATAAAGAAAAAAACATTGAATGAGAAGGTGTGTCCAANTATACTACATAAAGTGACTTAAACTGTTTTAAAACATTTTTATACATTGTATTGCCCCAAAACATTTGACTGGATTTACTGTAATGTAAATGTGAGTGGTCAAGTACAAACTGCAAAGCCCTGTGCTTATTTTAGACATTGCATAAGAATGTTTCATAACCGAAATTCTGCAGACAGTGTGCCCATTCTGTGATGATATCATTTCAAATTCAAAATCATATTACTGCTCTCGACAGTGATTCTTTCACACTGCGATGTACAAGATGCAACTACATCATCTCAAACCCGCCCTCTTGTATAAGCTGTTTCTCCCTTGTGCTTTACCCACTGCATCATTTTGGTTTTATCACATGCATGAGGTGCTGTCTCCTCCATACCACAGTTTCCATTTTTGTATGGTTTTATTTGTATTTACATGATAAACAGCAACGTTATTTTGAATATATTGCTGAACCTCATCCATGAGGTAAACAAACACCTGCAGGAAGAAAAGGAATAAACCTTCAAACAATAGAGGTCAGACTGCACTTGTGATATTTAATTGTCACATTTATGGCAGAAATTAGGACTCCTCCCTCTGGATACTAAAACTTCTTAGAAAAAAATAAAATCTGAAAATGAGAGTCTTTCAATTTAAAAGACCATGAAATATTATGAGGACAGACTCTGAAAGGACACCCATGAAGTCAGGCTTTCTTTTCCTGCTCTCAAGAACTCCTGATATCTACTCTAGAAACAAAGTGCTGGAGCTTCAAACCCCTGTAGAGTTTACTTTTGCTTCTGTAGTTTGAAACATTACATTGCATCACAGTGTTATAAACATGAAAAGAGCTTTAATAAAGTCTGATCAGTTTGTCTGGAAGTCACAGACAACAATCAGTAAAAGCCGAATGTGAATATTCCTACACCTGGTGAGTGTTTTAATCTCAGTAGCGTTTTACCTGAGCCAAGTAAGTTATGATTTCAGTTGTTTCCATTCAGGATTATGCATAAACTATGTAACAGTTTTCCACCAAACTTGGTGGAGAGATGGGACCAGGCCTGAGAAAAGCCCTTTAACTTTTGGTGGGAATATGGATTAAGGGACAGATGCAGCATTTTATACTTTAACTGTGTCGTATGATAAACTATTCATGCACTCAGAGAGCACATACCCTTGCCAAGGCTCAAAAGTCCCCTTATGAAACCAAATTTAAATTCACAAGATCAGATTTTTATTGGGATCAGGACCAAGTTGTTTGTTGTCTGAGTTTTTTCATCACAACAATGTAAAAGAAAGTTAAAAAAAAAAAAAACACTAGCAAACAAATGCAGATGAAAATGAAATCCCCTTGGTGGAGTTAGGAAATCATTGAGGTTATCAAACCACTTTCCTTTTTTTCTTGTCTAGGTCAAGAACGTCCAGCAATGCCCTTACAAGGATAACTCTGTGGGTGTTATTTACTGTATATAGCACTGCTGTTACAGAGAAAAACTAATTAAAGAACAACAGAACACCAAAGACATCAAACTAATTATTACATTAATGAGTGCTATAGCACATAAATCAGTTGAGGGCATTGATAAAAGAAAAGTGTAAAAAAGACATGGAAAAGCCATTTGGAGAGGATTTTGAGACAATTTTAAAACAGACAGTGACATTTTAAGTCATTCCACTGAAACCCCACCTAAACATCATCGAGCCACTCGGTGAGTTTTCTTTATTTTTTTGTCACTGTTTATTTAAAGGTTCAGTGTGTAAGATTTATGTGAAAGAGATCTATTGGCACAAATTGAATAGAAAAGAATCCTCATGATTTTTTCACTAGTGTGTCTTAATAAAAATTGTATGAATTGTTTTCTTCACCCTAGAGTTGGCCCTTTATATTTACGTCGAGGGGGTTCTCTCTACTGAGGCCGCCATGTTTTTTACTGTCGTCCAAACAGGACAAACTAAACATCTTTTGAGTTTTTATGACAACTGAAGGTTTCCACAGGTTCTCTGTCATGTTTGGAAGCAGAGGGTGAGGTGAGGGGTGTTCAGCTGCAACGTGCAACTTCACCACGAGATTCTACACACAGAACCTTTAAGGCTGTGATCGGGATTGTCTGTTTGTCTGTCGCCTTTTCAGGACCAAGGTCGGCTCAGGATTACAACAGCAAGTTTAACTGAGAGCAGCATCACCTCAGTCAGGTTTGTTAACAGAGCCCCAGTATTGTACTTCAGATAACAGCAGTGCAATAACATCGTGCACATATTAAAGCTCCAGCTAAACCTACACTGTGGATTATTAGCTTTAGCTAACATGGAGCCACTGACACAGTTGATCTAACATCACTGACAAACGTAAACTAATGTGCTTCACTTTTTTCCTCTCTCCTCTTCATCCGCTTCCTCTTCTGATGTGCCCTCTGATTGGCTCTCCGCCGACGCTTCCAGCCAATCAGCCGCCGCCTGCTCTGGAGGAAGGAATAAATGCAAGATGGCTCCTCATATAAAAACAGTCTTGTGGCTCGCCCTCAACGTGCGACTAAATAACTCTTTACACCTCGTCAGGCTGAAGTATTTGTCCGCTAAGAGTTCTGAGGGGTAGCTCCAGCTGCAGATTGATATGCGAATGGTTGGTGGGGAGAAGACACCGGAGGGACAAAGAGGGACAACTTTGAAGCCATGAATCGGCGGTGAAGTCGCTCCTCGGCGGACAGAGTTGGTGTGGCCACAAGCGGGAGCCCGGGCCTCGGCTAGCTAGCGTTAGCCGCTAACTAGCTGATGACTTCACCCACTGTGGACTGTCGCGTTGGGAACGTTAAACGGCAAAGAGGGGACAGTCCTCATATTAGCGCTGGACTCTTGAATGCGGGGCGTGGAAGGCCTTAAAATCTCTGACCATGGCGGTATCAAGGTACACCGACTCTCCTATGTGCCCGACTGTCAATTGCAGTCAGCTAGCTAACTTGCTAATACCTGCTCTCTGTTCATTTGGCGAAGAGTTGCGCGGCGGAGAAACCAATAGCTGCTAAGCTAACAGGCTGCTAACATTATGGTGTAACAGAGTCTCTACTCGTGGCTCCGGTTTGTAGGCCAGGGACAGACTGGACTCACGATCCACTGTGGACTCATGTTCAACTGCAAATTAAAGTTCAAACATAAATCTTCAGCGTTTCGTGGTCCTCTACTGACGCTTTGTAGTGAAATGCTAACAAACGTGGCTCTGTACAGTCACTTTCTCAAACATGAGATGCCGTCATAGGTTACCTGTGGTCACAGAGTACTCTCTGCTGAAGCTGGACAAGTTGCGTCCTCTCTTCGATGCTTGGACTAACACCCCGCTGCTGCATTCTCTTTCTTACGTGGTCTCGTCCAGTGTTGTGATTGTTGTTATCACTCCACGTGGTGTCAGGGGTCTTCTTCTCCACAGCAGTGGACTTATCTGTCATTAAGCTGAAGAATTAGTGGTACCTGGGGTCACGACCTGTCCGTCTCTAATCTACTCCCCTTTATTAATAGACCTGCTAATGACCTCGGGGCCAGACCAGGATCGTTACAGGTTGCCTAGGTGCAAAGCCAAACTATTAATAATACATAATGGTTTTATCCATGTATGCATGCGTCGCCATGAAAGCTTCTGTCATCATTAACTTAATTTGTAGTTAAGTGCATCCTCTTAGTGCAGACACAGTTTAAAAATGAATATGGATCATAAAAACAGACTTAGATGCAGTGATCTGCACATAAGCGTTATAAACAACTGTTGAAAAATGCAATATAAAACGTTTTTTTTGCCTCGATCCCAGTTATATTCCCAATAATATTATTGAACAGTTCCAACCTCGTTATTTTGCAGAATTCCGTTTTGTGTTTATCTATGTATTCATATAGAATTTGGCGAGAGGTATAATAAACACAAATAAAGGTTCTTCCAGTTGGATTCAAAGTTTGACAGTTGTCTTGCACAGTGGAGCATCTAATATTTGAAAAGAGGAATTGGTTCAGTGCTGTGCACATTGTGGTCTTTAGGGATTCTGTTGACTGTGTTGTATTTTGTTTTTTGTCTCCTGTCTTTAGACTTGATCGTTTATTTATCCTGCTTGACACTGGCACAACACCAGTAACCAGGAAAGCAGCAGCCCAGCAGCTTGGTGAAGTTGTCAAACTCCATCCGCATGAACTCAATAACCTCTTATCAAAGGTGTGTATTTGAGACAACCTTCTGTGAACATGCCATTCACAAGCCTCCATATGATAATATCTTCTTGGGCATGTGAAATAATCTTGGTTAAAAAAAAAAAAAATTTTGACAAAGTGCCCAAATTTTGTCTTTTGTTGACAGTTTTAATTTCTGTTTTTATTTCTTTAATAGGTCTGACACTTTCAGCTGAGATTTTATGTGTGACAAATTAAATCTATTTTCTGTCAATTACAAGGTCTTGACCTACCTAAGGAGTCCCAACTGGGATACTCGAATAGCAGCAGGCCAAGCTGTTGAGGCTATTGTGAAGAATATTCCTGAGTGGGACCCGGCCCCCAAACCTAAAGAAGGTGAGCTCATCGACATGTTCATTGAGATACGATACTAATGTATTATATGAAAATATGACTTGTCAAGATGTTTTTGGATCATTATTAAATTATACACAAAGATGAAACATAACAAAGGTCAGAAAGAAAAGAGGAGGAACAAATAGTTAACTAGTGAAGTGAGTACTATGTTCTGACTTAATCCATCACAGTTTTGTATGTGATAATACAATGCGTGAGATAAAGTTATCAGTAAAACCAGTGACAACTTATAGTGAATGTTATCCTGTTATCTGTTATCCTCCCACAGTCATCTGACAATGTAACAGCATTTGACTGTTAGTAAAACCGTAGCCCAGTTGGACACCTATAGACAGCTTATTGTCACAGTGTTCACTAGTCAGCTGACAGCAGTGACTTGTTTCCTCTCTCGCTCACAGTTTTTTTCCAGACTTCAGTCTCGTTGAGTGCGCCATCAGATATTTGCCTGATTGACAGGTTTTCTACCTGGTTCATTATTACAGTTAAAAAGACATCATAGCTATATATATACCTGTTTTCATCAATGAATTGCTTGTCTCTGTGGTGACAGAACATATTCCACCAGACTTCAGAAACTCCTACATGTTAAACTGAACTCATGAAACTCACAAAGGCCGATTAACTCCGGAACAGTCACTATTGATAGACTTGAAAACAATTACCTAGCAGCATGATAAACAACCCATCTTCAAAAAAAATTTTTTAAATTTTTTTAAACCCTAGTTTTAGAAAGGAATATCTTATATTACTCCCAATATACATCCTTTCTGTCAATAGCAGTAGAGTGTAATTTTTTTAAAAATTTTTATTTGGTTTTTACACTGTGGAAAAAAACAACAACCCTGTTGTACCTTTAGTTAAGTTGTGATGTCAATTGTGTGTATTATTTTATTGTTCAGTTGATTGATATGAGATTGATCTGAATGAAACAGGTGGATGGAGGAAAAAGAGGCATTGTCAACTTAATCTGCATCAGTACATATTGACTAGTTAATGAATCAGAGGCTGAGACATGAATGTGCAGCTCTGAGACTCTGTCTGTTTCCCATAGAGTCTTGTGAAGACTTATCTCCAGAGGACTCCCCTTGTGACCGGTTGAGTTTCTACCACTTTGACATCTCCCGCCTCCTCAAACATGGGGCCTCTCTGCTGGGATCTGCCGGGGCTGAGTTTGAGCTACAAGATGACAAAGCTGGTTTGTAGTGTTTATCTTTGTGTTTTCAGCTGATGGAACATCCACACTGTTAAACTTTGACAGATATTGATTTGTGTTAATTATTTTGTGGAGATTGCAACCTGTGGAAAAGAACAGTGTGAATTATTATAACTGTTAATATAAGACAAGGACGATGTTTGTTGTTTGCTATTCTGTCTGGCACACAGCTTTGGGTCTGTGTTCTCCAATCTGTTAGTTCTGACTTGAGTAGGAGGAGTCTGTTATGACTTTTGTTTGCTTAACAAACTTTGTGCAACAGATTTACTCCCCCGTCACTACATACTCATATCTCGTGAAGCATATAATTAACTGAGGCTGGACCACTCCAACATCAACACAATGCAGCTGATTTGATAATTTTGCTTTCTAGATACATTTATCTCCAGAATGGCTGTTGTTCACATGCATTATTCTCATGCAACTACAATGTACTCTTCCTCCATTTTACCACACTCTTAAGTTTTCCTGCAATGTCATGTCTTAATCTTTAGGTGAGATGGACCCTAAAGAACGACTCGCTCGCCAGAGGAAGCTTCTTCAGAAGAAGTTGGGTCTAGACATTGGTGCTGCTATTGGAATGGACACAGAGGAGCTGTTCAATGACGAGGACCTTGACTATACCTGTCAAGCAAGTGGACTAAAAGCCCATGGAAGCAAAGCCACAGCTGGATCCAGCTCCCGCAACCATCTAGTAAGTCTCATTTTAGCCTCTCAACTTGGAGTCCTTTTGTTTTAACAAGGTTCTTGGTGCAAGCTGTAGCCTTGCGGGGAGAGGATAAGGAGTTTTGAGGCAGGGAGTGTGCGTCTGTTTTTTTCCATTTTCAGCAGTGTGATGCTCTGCATTGAGACTGTGGTCATATCCTTACTCATCTGGCTAAGTTGAATTAGTAAAGCCAAGACGGGCTGGTTGTATCTTGTCTCACAATGTGGGAGGTTGTTCCTGTGAAACTGAAGTTCAGATTTACAGATGTGCAGAACATGTTTGGTAGTTAACATTTTGTATTGCAGCACAAAGGCTTGTCTGAACAGAACATCTGCCTAAAAAGCCACAATTTGGTCATGCAGATGTTGTCATCTTCCCTTTGGCCTGACAATCGTTGGTGGATCATTTTTTTTCTAAACCTGTTTTGAATCAAACCTTGTGGGGTTTTGTTGTGTGACCTTTTTTTTTTGTCTTGGATCATGTCTGGTTTTGAACACTATAAGTTCTAGTGTCAGTGCAGTATTACAGCATTTTATATCTCTGCCTCATTGGTATGTTAAATGGGCTACCAATAAACCCTCTAAAAGTATGTCTGACAAAGTTAATCCTAGATAGCCTTATTAACACTCTGCAAATTTGTGTATTTATAGTAGGGCTATAAAAAATTTCAAAATGAAACCGCGGTCCAAACATCCACGGTTTCAGTTCCCGATACACCAAGACAGAACCGCAACACGCCAGCCTGCTCAACTCCCATGTTGCCACAACAGCATGTGCAGCCTGTTGCGTGTGTGCAACTGCGTCTATCACAACCATGGGACCACGACCACACATAATCTGAACACGGAAGTGACTAGTAACTTCAGAGCAATGATTGTGGTGGTCAGAGAGCTATCTGTTCTACCTTTACATTAACGCTGCCCAAAAAAATCCATTGGAGGAGTTCTCAGCGAGAGGAGAAATCCTGGTTTACTTCTGGTTTCTGACTAGCTCTGAAGGAGCAGCAAACTGTCTCACACACACACACACACACAC